CCCCCCACAACAAAAAACCCAGACAAAACAAAACAAAACAAAACAAAACCTACAAAAAACTAACAACGCCTGAACATGTGTTGGTGCATCCTGACAATCACAAGCAACTGTTTCAAGTTCTTTATAGCACCAGCCCCCTTTTTACCAACCTTGTGACTGTGGATGTTCCGGACTTCGTGAAATAATTCACAGTAGGGGCGATACTTTACCTATACTCAAAAATGGCATCCAGTCATCCCAAGAGCAGATCAGCCTTGGCCTACAACATTCAAAATGTAGATCTATAGTTATCTCTTGAGATTTTTCGACCATAACAATGTCTTACAATTTTATATCGAAAACGTAATTATCAGCTCTCTACCGTAGAATTACAAAGTTCTATCTGACACTTATGGCTGTTTTAAGTTTACTAAGACCATGAAGTCAGAAACCAAATTAATATGTCTTCTGTCTGCTCTATCAAAGACATATGATTATTCGGAGTCGTTATCTAGATGAGGGTGCGGTGGCGGAGCGGTTAATGCGCTCGTCTCCGAAGCGGAAGTCTGGGTTCGAGCCTCGGTTCGGACACGGATTTTTTCGCCCCCTCCTGCCCACTCAGCAGTAATGGGTACTTGACTTCGAGTTGGCGAAGTAAAGGCGGCGTGGAAAGGAACTGGCCACCCTACCACAATATGCCGAAGGCCCAGGAAGTTATCTCACTAACAAGGTAATCCCCGATGTCCGGATCGGGAACAACTTTACTTTTAACTTTATCAAGATATTCAAAGAAAAAGCTTGACATGGTGTGTAACCTGCTATTACTCCTTACAGACCAAGGGCAGTGCTGAGATCCACGTCAACAATGAGCCAGAAGTGAGTTGTGTGTTGATGTGTACATATTTCATTGATGAAGGTGTATAAGCACATGTACACATTATGTACTTGTTCTTTTCTTTAGTGCCGTTTATATTATTACGTGACCTCTATGTGTGCTTTGATTAGATCAAATTATGTCTTTCCTTTTATATTATGTCTTCGCTTTCCTTATGCCAAAAAGCAGAGATGTTGTTCTTTTATGTGCGCGCGATGTCTCTCTCTCCCTCTCTCTCTCCCTCTCTCTCTCTCTCTCTCTCTCTCTTTCAGGGAGAGAGGGGGAGAGAGGGGAGAAAGGGAGGGGGAAGGAGAGAGAGAGAGAGAGAGAGAGAGAGA